GACCCTGCCAGGACAAGGGAAGTTGTCTGTTGAAAACGGCCAATTCAAGAAAAGATGTCTGAGGAGGATGTTATTTTGAGCATGGAAAGGGAAGACAAGTAAGAAAGGAGAGTTGCTGGATAAAATATAGCATAGCGAACTGGTAGTAATGATACATGTTGCTAGAGCCAGGCAAAATAATTTGTTGAAACATTTTTTTCCAGATTGTAAAATTCCTCTCTGCTTCTTGACACACATTTCTGAAACTTTTTGAGAGAGAGAAATTGTTTTGTTTTTAGGAAAACTCTTCCAAACTTACTTATTTCCTGTCTCCCCTTCTTTCCAGTGGAGGCAGTGGAAATTTTTCTAAGGGTACATCTACACTGCGGCATTATTTCAGGATATGTCCGGTATCCCAAAATAGCTATTCCTTGTCTTTGAAGCAAGCCAGTTATTTCACAATATAACAGGCTGGCTATTCCAACGTCCCTGTAAACCTTGTTTCACAAGGAATAAGGGACGTGTCAGAATAGTGGTTTATTGCAAATTTTGGTGTTGTGTAGACAGGGTCACAATACAAAATAAGCTATTTCAAAATACACTCAAAATAAGTTATGTAATTTGTGTAGCTCAAATTGCATAGTTTATTTCGAGCTACGGGTGCAGTAGAGATATACCCTAAGAAACAAAGTGAAATGTAGTTGAAGATTTCAGTTTGTTTGGTCAAAAGAATGAAAGATAACAAACTTTTCAATGAAAATGTTTCCTTTCTGTTCAGATTTATTAACCATATTGACTTTTTTGGGGTTTGGACTATTCTGCACATTAACTAAGGTGATAGGGCAGGGAAAACACACCTGACAAGGATTTAAGAAACCTGTCTTCTTTCGCTGGTTCAGACATTGACTATTGCTTTCATTGCTCTGTGCCTCAATTTCCCTACCTCTACAATAAGGATAATAATACTCAGTCACCTTTTGTAAAGCACTTGGAGACCTACACACAGTATGTTCTCTATAAGGTCTGGTAATTAACTAAAAATGGGAGCAGGGCCTTAGTTGTGTCACAGACCTGAGATATTGGACCCCTAGTACCTTGGCTTGTGTTGGGGTCCTTTGTACCCATTTCCAATGAAAGCATCAAAAACAACAAAAGTACTTACCCCGAAGTTCAGTTTAAAGCAACTTGAAATCAGCATTTGTTTAAAGTAAAAAAAATCTCTGCTAGACACAGAACATGCTGAGAGTTCCCCATGGTGAGAGATTTTTAAATAATAAATTCTGCCTGGTATCAGCCCTAATTAGCAAACTGGATTTGCTCCTGTCTCACGTGTGCTTCTGTTCTTCTCAGGACTTACTTTTATTTAAAGTGGCGTGTGTGAGGCAACCACACACCTGCAGTGAGAAGGACATGTTTTTTTCATTGTTTGTTGGTTTTCTTTAAGCAGTTAAAGGCATGTGGTACTGGATGCTGTAGACATAGACAGGAAAGGAAACTGTGATGTCTTGAAGACAGAGAAGTCTCCAGCACTAAGGGCACTTCTGAAAATGTAGACTTTTAAGTTAGGAGCTAGTGGCATTGGGACTTGGCATTTTCGGGCAACAGGAATAAGAATGAGATCGAGTTGTCTATATCCATCCTTTTTGTCTCTTTGTAGCCAGCTTGCAGAGAGTTCTTCCGGGGGGTAAGTTTTAGGAACAAGCAGCTGGAGGCAAGCCAATTGATCTAATGTTTAAAGTTTGATTTAATTTTTTTCCCAATCAGGAAAGAGCGACTGTGAAAATGACATACTGGAGTTCTGCATTTATTCATTCTCTGTGGCTTACTACCCTTTAGGGTTTTTCTTGCCACCAGCCCTGCAGACTTAGCCTGGTCCCTGACAAATGAAGGTGTGTTCTTTCTGCCTATTTCATCACCAAAACAAATGATTCTCTGGTTTCATGTACCACAGCTGATAATTTTGCTGATGCTAGAGGCAGAATAGTCTCCATCTTCTTTTCCCATGGCTGTCTTGGCTCTGAAGGTATATTAATATCTTGATTTTGTTGGTGAAGCAAACCGATGTGACTGGCAGATACACAAGGAACAGCCTTGGTGAATGAGAATGCACAATCTTTGCATTTAGCAGTTCCAACAGTGAAGCTGATTAGAAATTTGGGCCACAACCTGCCACTTAATGGTAAGTCAATTACAAAGATCTCGATTATAATGATTTACAGCAGAGGTGAGGGCAACAGAATATGTCACAGAAATCTAAAATAGATTCAGCTCTAATCTGTTCTTACACTCATTCCATTGGCCAAACATAAAACTCTAGCTACACAAAGAATTCCTCATCCAACCTCAGAAAAAATATTTTCTGTCACGGAAGCCTCTGCAGTTTTTATTGAAAGATACCTACAAATTATAATAGGGATCAGTCCTGAATGGTCAGGGATGGGATGGATGATCTAGTAGAGACTTGTCATTGGTAACTCTGCCAGGATGGGCAATCATTTTTTATGGGGGGGGAGGCCACTCCAACAATTTGGAAAGTGGTTGAGGGCCACAATCTTCTAGGGTATTAATGGAGGAGCTACAGCGTATGGGATGGAGGTTGGGTGCAGAAGGGAGCATGGGGTAAGGGACAGAGTTTGGGTGAAGGAGGCAGGTGTGACCTGGGGCACTAGACTGGGGTTAAAGTCTGACTTAAGACAGGGAATTGGGGTACAGGAGGAGGCGCAGGGATTTGGGTTGTGAACTAGGGCAGGAGGGAACTGTGATCTGGGCAGTGGATTGCCAGATCTGGGAGGGGATATGGGTACAGGACAGGGGCAGAGGATTTGGGTATGTAGATTAGGGAACAAAAGTAGGGGGCAGACGATTGGGGAAGGGAGTGACTGGGGTACGAGAAACAGGCTGTGGCCAGGAGAATTACCAGCCAGCAGCCGTTCCTGAATCATCCTCCCTGCCTGCCAGTGTTCCCTCCAGATTGTGCTGTAGCACAGCTTCACAGGAATTAATCAGCCCTGCCCAGTCAGAAGCTCAGGGGTCTGGGCATGGAGCCCATGACTGGGCAGGGCTGATCAATCACTTGTGGCACAGCTTAGAGGGAACACTGCTGCCTTTCCTGCCCCAGCAAAGGTAGCAGCCATGTGCTCTGGAGCTTCCCCCCTCCCTTCTGGACTTACGGTTTTTAAAGAAAAACTGTCCTGCAGCCATGTTTCTGAGCGGTGTGCAGTTGGGGAGAGGCAAATGAGATCCTGCCTGGGGCTTCCTGCAGAATCCACGGGCCGGATCGTGTGGCTTGGCAGGCAGGATTTGAACTGTGGACCATATTTTGCCCAGGCCTACTCTATGTAATTACATTATAGTTTTCTCATTGTACTACATCAGACTCAATATGTACATGCTTTTAATAGCAGAAACATGGAAGAGGTGAGAGGATATATGTGTAAGATTCTATCTTCACAGCAATCTGAAAGTGGGCATGTTGCAATAACCTCTATAATTACCCACATACTAACCTGCATCTTGAACAGTCTGTTCATTTTAGGTAAGCTTGTGTAAGACCCTGTGGGTCTAGAATATGGGATTACAAGAGTTCTGAGTTCCCACTGCTTCCATATAGCCATTAGATGCGTAAGACAGGTTTCTGCTGAAGGCTGCTGTGATGCTAGCAACTGCAGGATATACCAACCATGAAGGCTTGAGTGGTACCCTCCACTCCCTGCACAGTTTGGTGATTGGTTTGTGCTGGTATATAAACCAGGAAGCTAGCATGGGGGAGCTATCTGGGCAATAATGCAGACTTCCTCCTTCAGCCTCAGACCTTGGCTCTCCTATGGATCCTAGATCTGTCTTCTGACTGTGTCTTTCCCAGCTCTGTTACTTGTCAGGTACCTGACCTTGATTTCCTGTTATCCTGATCTGGCTTGAACCTGATCTTGCTACTTATCCCTTGACAGCAATGCCATAACTGATTGGTGCACATAGCCCAGAACTGGTAGTGTGTTTGTGTATGGGTGCTTTCTTACACAACAATCTTCAATATTTTCAATGGTTTTCTGTTCATCTATGAATCCAAATCAACTGTCCTTCTAGGATTTCTGAACTGTTTATGGATTATCTTCACCTTACCGCTTTGATCTCATTCTCTTGTTCTATCATCTATTCACTTCAGTCCTCCAGTTGTTGCATTCTTCATGTGTCTTCTCTAGGACTCAGTCACCAATTTAGCTGTGGTGACTAATTTCAGGAATCTACACCCCATGTGTTATTTTTGTGATGACTTCATATTTAAATATTTTATCCCTTCCCTTCCCTTCCAATTGATCTTTATGTTAATAAATGGTGTTTTCCTCCTCTATGAAATGTATTGCAAGAGATCAGTTCCCTTGCAGTATATTTTATGCTAGTCCAGGTTCAAAATAGGGAACTCAGGTCCGTGCAAGCCATCAAATATGTATATCCATTGCTGGCTTATAGACCTTGCCATCCAATATTAGGCCTGAAAATCTGAATTCTAGAAATAGAATTATTTTAAACTTTTAAAAATCATTTATGTCTAAGCAAGATTTTTAAAAGTTCCCATATACTGTAGATATAGTTCAGACAATAATGTTACCTACATTGTATATTTTAATAGAACTTTCTTGACTGCTACATTTTTCCCAAAGCAAGGAATTATTACAGTGAAAATATAAATGTCATCTTTCTTACATTTTGGAATTTTACAAGCAGTATTATATTAATAGAAACTTGGGAATCCCTACATTTGAAGGGGAGTAAATAATAATAAATTCAGTCATTTTCATTCTTTGTCACGGAATGACAGTGTAATGTTACATTATGATTCAGCACACACCATCCACACCAAAAAGCTTATGTTCTGGGGTCCAGAGCTTTTCATTAAAGACCCAAATAGTGCATCATAACCCTTTGAAAACTTGCAGTTGGCAGGCTGGTAGTGTTCCAAATGCTGGCAGGTGTACTAACTGAAATATGAGATGCAAACTCTTTTTTCTTTTCTCTATTTTCAGCCAGATACAATTTAACAGCATTCTGGATTATACACCTTCTGTTAACAAAGGGAAAAGAGCAAGGAAACCCTGTCAGGAAGTGCGTCTGAAAAGGAAAGTGTGTTTCAATGGATCAGTTCAGCATTTTTGTCCACCTAATCCTGTGAAGCAGCATGCTTTGGCTAGTTAAAGGTGACTAACCCAATCCCATCTGTTCACAGGAAAAGTGACTGAAGATGAATCCAAAGGGACTTTCATGATTTGAGGATGTAAAAATGCAGGTGGAAATGAAAGCAAAAGGACAAAATGTTGAGGTCGCAGCTGAAATTAAAGGTGAAGGGCTAATAAAAACATCTTACCTTCCTTCTCTGTCTAAAGGAAGTTAGCCCAAGAGGAAATTTCTGAGAAAACTGATTATTAAAAATACTATGGGTCTTTGTTAAGCTTGTTGGGTTTTATTTTCATTATCACAAGAGGGGAGGGTTAGTTGGCAAAAGATAACACTATAGAAGTGATAGGGTCTCCTTGCCCCCGTCAGATGTGGGGAGAAGGATGAAAGTCTCTGAAAGGCCGCACATATATCCTAATAGGAAAACCAGCATCTCTGCCCTCCCAAATGGAATTATCTGAGGAAAGATTGGACGCAGGTGACTGGTCCCTACAGGGGCAGCAGAGGCAGGGAGGGCCACCCAGAGGGGGCAGGCAGAAAGTATGTTGGGCACCCCATTTAGCAATTAAAATTTTGGCAATCTCATGGTGGGGGGTGTTAAGCTATGATTGGGAGCCAAGCATTCCTCTTATTACTTCTTCTGTGAAACATTGGGAAAAATTTTCAGATGTGCTTGTGTTGCTTTTTTAAAACCATTGAAATAAAACAGGTGCTTTTGAAAATTTTACTCAGGAGCATCTTTTTTACCCTGATCTTCTGCCTATTCTCCCCTACTCTTTTCTGCTCAGCAAGAGCAGAGGAGGAGGAAGAGGAGGTGTTTGGTGCCCTTGGAGGACAGCACTTTTCTCTCTGAAAGCAAATGACAGCAGGAGCCACTTAGGACACTGAATTTTGCTGTAAATTGAGTGAATCTTCACTTCAAGGAGTACTGGAAGTCTGTTGAAATATACTGAAGCCATTCAGGACTTGTCCGTGAACATATGTTACAGCACTTTAAATGTACTGGTACAGTTAAAATGGTACAACCATCTCAGTGGCTTCAGTTATATCAATAGAAAACAGAAACAAAGTACAGGCAGTCCCTGGGTTACGTACAAGATAGGGACTGTAGGTTTGTTCTTAAGTTGAATTTGTATGTAAGTCGGAACTGGTACATATTGTAGGGGAAACTCTAGCCAAACATTTCTCCAGAGCTCAGTTTTATTCTCCCACACCTCACTACCCTCAGTCCTTTATTCTCAAGCTGAGGAGTCTGCTGAGAAAAGCCGCTCCGCGTCTCCCTGGTCTGCTGGTCCGTGTCTCTCTGGTCCTGCTGGGGGGGAGGGGGGGGGCGCTAGCTTCACGTCTCCCTGGTCTGCTGGGGGGAAGCAGCTAGTGCGGGGTTGCCTCATCCCGTTTGTAAGTAGGGATCCGATGTAAGTTGGATCCATGTAACCCGGGGACTACCTGTAAGTAAAATTAAATAGAATCAACCATGACTTTTTTAAAGTTATGGTTTAAGGGATTATTAGTACCAAAGGAGACTGACATTTTAAAATACAGCAATAACCTGACATTGTCTTGTGAATTATGTGCATTACTCCTATTTGAACATTTTGGGAACCGCCCTAACCTGTCTCGGTATTTATGATTAGCCAATACAGTGCTTCTGTTCCATTGCTGGGGGTCTCACATGGTGAACGGCTGACCACTCCCTACTGCCACTAAAGCTAAGGGCAGTTAACCAGTTGAGAACTGAGTCCTAAGCATATATCCAAAGTGTGTATAGAAGGTCTAATTCCGCAATAGGAATCAATGAGTTTTGCCATTTAATACACTGGGAACAGGACCACATTCTTAGTCCTCATAAAACATTTGTGTAACAGTCTCATGTACTTAGGGCGCATCTACACAGCAGGGCTCAAGCAGAAATAAGCTATGCAACTTGAGCTATGTCAATTGCGTAGCTTAAGTTGAAATAGCTTATTTTGGCTTTTGGTGCTGTCTACATAGCAGGAAATCTGAATTAGAGCACTCTTCCTCTGACTTCCCTTATTCCTCATAAAATGAGGGTTACAGGAGTCAGAGCAAGAAGTCCTCCAGCTCAACATCATTTCAATATTATATCAAAATAACTGCTTGCAGTGTAGAGTCAGATTGTATTATTTTGGAATAACATCTGTTATTCCAAAATAACCTTCTGTGTATATGTACCTTTACAGAGGAACTTATACCAATATATATTATTGCTATTAAGGAAGGAATATAAGCTATACTCAGGTAAAGCACTGTTATGCCAATATAGATGCATTAACAGTAGGGGCTGTACAGATTTAAAACAATTTGGTGGCAAAATTATACTCCCTAGCTGAAACAGTTAAATTGGTATATAGATCAGGGATTTCACTGTGACCTAACATATAAAGCCATGATCCTGCACCATTAATGTTGATGGAAGTTTGAGCATTGACTTCAGAGATTATGGGATCAAACCCTTGAATTTCTATTTATTCTTCAGCAGCTGTACAGCCTTCTCATTATGGTAAAATTAAATAGAATCAACCATGACTTTTTTAAAGTTATGGTTTAAGGGATTATTAGTACCAAAGGAGACTGACATTTTAAAATACAGCAATAACCTGACATTGTCTTGTGAATTATGTGCATTACTCCTATTTGAACATTTTGGGAACCGCCCTAACCTGTCTCGGTATTTATGATTAGCCAATACAGTGCTTCTGTTCCATTGCTGGGGGTCTCACATGGTGAACGGCTGACCACTCCCTACTGCCACTAAAGCTAAGGGCAGTTAACCAGTTGAGAACTGAGTCCTAAGCATATATCCAAAGTGTGTATAGAAGGTCTAATTCCGCAATAGGAATCAATGAGTTTTGCCATTTAATACACTGGGAACAGGACCACATTCTTAGTCCTCATAAAACATTTGTGTAACAGTCTCATGTACTTAGGGCGCATCTACACAGCAGGGCTCAAGCAGAAATAAGCTATGCAACTTGAGCTATGTCAATTGCGTAGCTTAAGTTGAAATAGCTTATTTTGGCTTTTGGTGCTGTCTACATAGCAGGAAATCTGAATTAGAGCACTCTTCCTCTGACTTCCCTTATTCCTCATAAAATGAGGGTTACAGGAGTCAGAGCAAGAAGTCCTCCAGCTCAACATCATTTCAATATTATATCAAAATAACTGCTTGCAGTGTAGAGTCAGATTGTATTATTTTGGAATAACATCTGTTATTCCAAAATAACCTTCTGTGTATATGTACCTTTACAGAGGAACTTATACCAATATATATTATTGCTATTAAGGAAGGAATATAAGCTATACTCAGGTAAAGCACTGTTATGCCAATATAGATGCATTAACAGTAGGGGCTGTACAGATTTAAAACAATTTGGTGGCAAAATTATACTCCCTAGCTGAAACAGTTAAATTGGTATATAGATCAGGGATTTCACTGTGACCTAACATATAAAGCCATGATCCTGCACCATTAATGTTGATGGAAGTTTGAGCATTGACTTCAGAGATTATGGGATCAAACCCTTGAATTTCTATTTATTCTTCAGCAGCTGTACAGCCTTCTCATTATGGCTTTCTGTAGTTTAGACCTGGCACAAATACTGTTTGTATTGTGGCATCTAAACCGGAACAGGGTTAGGTGATACAGTCGTGTAAAATGGCTTGGACCTAATAAACACTAGAATTTGCACTGCTGGCAACAGTATTTCCTAGTGGAAAAATATCTTGCAGATGGGTTCCATTCTATTTGGAAAATTGGAAATAAGTTAAAATTTCAGGTTTTGGACACAGTATGATCCATGGAAATTCTAAGTAGTATATACAACATATTGTTAGTAGTAGTAATAATAATAGTATGAAAATACACTGCCAGATTTTACCTGCATGTAATAAACATGACAGGTTAGTTCAACCAGTTAGCTAGTGTTTGACCAGGTCAAAGTATATACAACTACTTCTGCAGAGAATTTTTTTTTAAAGGAAATTTCAAATTTTCCATAAGTTTTGATCACCCTGTAAGCTGGTTTAAAATAAAATGAGATTTTCTTTGGTCAGAATTTCCAGAATTAAAAATCTTGAGTAGCTCTAGTCAGTGGTCTCAGCATCATATCCAGGAAAATGTCTCCTTTCTATAGGGCAGCAGAGTTCAGATATACTAAAGGGATGACAAACTACAGCTCTGAAAAGAGACCTTCACATTCATTGTCCCCACTTTTTAAATCCCAGCCAACTGATCAATGTAATTGCATGAATAGGGTGTCTAACATTGGATACAAGCATACCGGAGTCCATAGATTCCCACCAGCTTCAATGAACTTTGGAGCTGACACTAGAATCTATACTGAAACACCAAAGCCTTAGATGTATATTTAGCTGATAAATCTGGATTTTAGTGCCTAACTTTTGGCATGCAAAAATTGAAAATTGTAGCCTATGTGTTTGGTATCCAAATTTATTGCACAAGATCTGGAAGAATGAGTGAAACTACCAGGTTGGAAAATGGTATTTGGCACAGGACTTTGAAAGGAAAAGGTTAAAAGGGCTGCAGAAAACCATATTTTTTGTACTTGTGATTTACAACAGTAACCTGTCTCAGCTGTATCAGTATGATGAAAGAGAAAAATGAGAAAAGCAGCAGGTTGGTATCCAAATTTATTGCACAAGATCTGGAAGAATGAGTGAAACTACCAGGTTGGAAAATGGTATTTGGCACAGGACTTTGAAAGGAAAAGGTTAAAAGGGCTGCAGAAAACCATATTTTTTGTACTTGTGATTTACAACAGTAACCTGTCTCAGCTGTATCAGTATGATGAAAGAGAAAAATGAGAAAAGCAGCAGGAA